ATCACATCACGGTCTCGGCAAGCGCAAACCGCAATCTCATTAATATAAAAAAAAAGTGGCACGACGACTGCGAAAGGAGAATACATTTCCGTGTATATAGGAGGTTTTTTAAATGAAAAGTAGCCATCTTTCCAACGGTACTAAGCATTTTCCCGTAGATCAACTAGAAATGTTGTTTTTGATGCAAGAAGGCTAGGTGGGGTCGACTTTTCGACATCTATGATCATTGGGGTGTCATTTTTTCCGAAAGTCGATCTAAACCCATAAAACATGTAAAATTACTCGGAACACCTTAGCTTAGGTCCAAATATAGCTGTAACAATTTCTCAGGGTAGACACTTGTAAACGTATTCTATACTCGTTATCGTGATTCTTGTAGATTTATCATCACTCAACTCAAAGTTTAAACACTTCATTTGTTTATTCTATAAACACTAGCTAAATATGTTTTGCATGAATCAGTTCTCGATACGAATCAATAGAGGTTTTGACGATATCAAATTGGGACTATTGAAATGGAATTATATACTTGCTTGCTTGTCCTTTATAAATCACGTGGCAAGGCTATTAAAAGTACTTAAACCACCCTGGATACAAATTTACCCCTTTGAAATTCACCAGCCCAGATCAATTTCACACAATCGTGTCCACGTTTTAATTAGCGCCGATATACCACAGTAGGTGTTAATACTACTGTTTACAGTAGTAACATGAATAGATGTCTACAGAGCTGGGAACATACTAGTGGACGTTTCTCTATTGTTGCTGCAAGTCCTTCTTTGCATAGAACTCCTACACGTGTTTGTGAACGTTGTTCTCAGTAATATTGTGGGTATAACTCTCCTTGATAGGGAGACGGTTTGCTGTTATAGAACTGTTTATTTTTTATAGATCGTCCAAGTCCCACAAAGAGAGGCGAAGTAAGGCGTGTACGGAAATCACTGACGGTCTGACACCTACCACATCGATATGTAATCTGTGTGGAAACAATGATATAGATTTATACCGGGATACATAGTCATGTACGAGACAGCGAGCACTCGAGATAGCGGGTACTCGAGATAACGAATGGACAGCAATTCTTCAGCAATCCAAAACAAACACATATAAATATATATCATAAAGGGGTTAAGTCATAAGGGAAAGTTTGTCGTTAAAACTATATTAATTGCATATTTAAAGCCAATTTACATTTTGACGCCTATGGCTGACGAGTGAACTAAAATAAGTCGTGTGCCGTCTATATTGCTTTCGGAACAGAAGATGAAAAAGATTTTCCTAAATCAATAAGGAATATGATCCAATTCATGACGTCTATAACCTTGCAGCCTACATTATTCAGTCCCAGTCGGAGTCAAAGAGAAGGTCAAATACATTTAAAGGGATCATTGCAGCTGCCTCACATTTCATACGTATAAGAATGAACTGTACTTAAATGCAATCCATGTGACCGTCATTAACATAGGCGGTTGCTCTCTGATTGTTTACCAAAGTGGGTATATCTGGGGACCATTCGGTTGAGCAAACTTTTGTTACTTCTTCCCTGTGATGTCATACTTTAATTAATAAGCATAGGCTAAAACACATGCACGAGTGGACGTTGTTCCCAATTGCATACCTGTATATGTACGTTGCAGGGTTTGGTTGTACAGGTAACGTGATCAGCATATTTCAGTTGATCTTTACACTGGTTATATTTCCTTGTTCAAACACATACAGATATTATCCAGCCCCTCGTCCCTGCCCACTCCACCGATACTGGAGACACAGCTATGTTAATCCGTGTCCACTCGTTTGGAGATCTCTGGGTGTCACTGAGCTAACCTTACTGGAGTGCTTAATCATTGGAAACGATAACAGAATACTCGGTTATAAATGGGTCGTGATAGGAAATGGTTGTAATTAGGTAAGATATCCAACATAAGGAATTCAGGCTGTTTGTTCAGACCGTACGTACATTGACAGGCGGCCCAAAGAATGACGGCAGCATGCTTTAACAACCCGGGTTCAATGCTGCTGACCTGAATTCATAGCTCTGTCCGTGATTTGTGTAAGCATTGCTGAGTGTGTGGTAGTAAGTTTCGTATACAGTGTTTGACAATAAAAATAAATAAATAGTTTACATAATGTATTCAACAAGTCATCTGTAGTTGTCTTAATAGCAAGGAAAGTTAAAACCCGGATGAGCACTTCGAAGTATGATACATGTCCGTCAAATTACAAATCTTGTAAAGACCACTTCCTTTTATACCAAAATATGTTGCCTTGTGTTCCAAGGAACTCAAAAAATCTGTGTCATAAAAAAAACATCCATCATCAGAAATATGGATATTGAACATGGATTTTGTATAGCAACAAATTGCATTATATATTTTGAAGTAAATTAGTTATCCTTAACGTGAGTAGAATTTTGAAATAAGAATACATACGCCGTGGTTAAACGAACTGTGCTTCCTTCACGCGTCATGTGTTAACCTCGCGTGGTCTGTAACTGTCACGATGACCTAACACGTCTTTGACGATACAACATAATACAATGTACAAGTCCATAGAACGCATTGGCTTGACAGGGAAATCAAAGACTACTTGGGGCGTGTTCGAGTCAGACGGAGACACGGAGAAGTACACAATGTACACAAAAAGAGAGCATTCTGCAGATTTTGACAATTTCAATATTTCATATTGTACCTAGTGGATTTATAATTTCTACATTTTGCCAATATAACAGAATAGCGTTCCTTTCTCCCACAGTCAGTGTTTACCTCACAGAACCATGTCCTGTATAATCCGCTGGGAAAAGTTCGATACTTGTATTTACTGACGAGCTCACCATTATTCCCATCGTCAAGTTCTGGAGAAGTCACGTGTGGACAGCGATACTGTTTACACAGAATCGACAAGATAAATAACGGGACCAGTCAACCGATCGACGTTGTTTGTCACGTGACGTTGCGACATCCTTACGTGTTTGGTAGCAACGATTGATGTGAGCATGAGGGCTTCAATGGAATTGTGTTCTCATTATCAACAATGTACATAGGGTTACTGACCGCCTATGGAACAGGTGGCTGCTAACCCTCCAATGTTCTATAAGGCCCGGTCACACAGCCCTCCACGGGCGTATCGCGGCCGAATCACGGCTAAAAATTTCTGCCCGTGAAGCAGACGCTGTTGGACGCTTTGAGGTCGCGATAAAGACGCGATACAGCCGTACTTTACCCGTCGTTACACGCGGTAAGAAATTCACACGCGTCCCAAATACGATTGTCCACGGCCTAATCGCGTCCGTACAACGTCTGATTTTAGGTATATAAAAAGCGCGATTTGCCGAGCATTCGTCAGTTGTTCTCCAGACGTCAAGGGGTGAACATGGATCCCCGTCACCGTAATGACCTCGTCTTGCTGCTCCGGTGCCATAGCTTGATCTTCACGGGACTGTGTCTTGAGCGGTTATGATTTCTACAGCCCGGTTCGGCTGCTTTATTATACCCGTGGTAGGCCGCGGTACCGCCGCGCTTCACCCGCGATAAGGACGCGGAACAGTCGCCGGCGTCTGTTCCGCGGGCATACCACGGGTAAACCGCGGGTAAGCCAATTTTGCACATTTTCCACCACGGGCAACCGCGGGCAAAAAAAAATCGCGAAATTTTACCCGCGATACAGACGCGAAAGGCTGTGTGACCGGGCCTATAGAGGGTCATTAGCTATATAAAGGTATCCATATTTAACCGGAGACGGGGTAAAGGCAACGGAACCTGACCGGTATTCGAACCAGGAACCTCGGAACTGTAGACGCTTGCTCTAACCAATTCAGCTATCGCTGTTTTTGTCTGACAACAGAGGTTTGGAGCTACCATGAGATGACCTTCATACTTACTCCACATATATATTTCGTTCATTAACGTTTGCTTTTTTTACTTACTATAAGTAATGTTTCAAACATTTAATAGCAGTTTTATTTGCCTTTTGAGGCGGCTTTTACTGGCTACTTAGCCTTTTTGTGTCCAGCACCAGTCCGCTGTTGCCATCTTCCCAAACAGCTTCGTAGTTGAGAAAATGAGAAAACGGCCTGCTAAGTATCCTCTATTTTGTTTCAACTGGCACTGGGGCGGCAACTCGTATTACCTTACCTTAATGGCCACGGTGGTACACCTGCCTGCGGTCGGACATGATCCTTAATAAATTGTTTAGAATCGTTTAAAACTAATATATCATTACTGATAATATTTTTCAGCATACCTGAAAAGAGAGGCTTTATTTTTTGTTTTGTCTTAAATGACTTGTATGAAACTGAATTCAATTTGACAATTACATTTAAATATTTGACCATAACGAACAAGCTACTGGTAAATGGTACCGGTAGAGAGTATGTAGTTCTGTATTCGGCAAGTTCGTGATATGCAGGGTCTGATTGACGTATGGATAAAACTAGACGGCGCTGACACCAATTACTGTATTAGTCTAGATAATCTGTCAAACTGGAGCATAGACTTCCTCTGACGAGGAGTGATAAACTTCAATTGAAGTCACGCTCGTTAATACAAAAGTCATGTAAACTGGCACTAAACCCAAACACCCTGGAGAGCAATTTGCAAGCTGCAATTTAAAAAAAGGTCGATCATTTGTATGATAAAAGAGATTAGGACACGCTAACAAAGTGCAATGTGAAGCCCTGCTACCCAGCGTTTAAGTGTATGGGTACTGTGTAGTCCCCTATCTTTGACGGGTCTTATCGTTTGTTTGTATTGCTAATAAAAAAACACCTCGCTTACAGGTCGGCTGGCGTGTGTCGTGAACAAGCCGATTAGGATACGAGCACCAATTGTTTTGATCGTATTCTAAGCCATAATGGAGCTAGCCGTTTTCTGCTGATGGCTTAAATAGGATCTGAATGTATTGTACGTATAAACCATTCCGTGTCTCACGTCCCGGGCAGCACCGTCCCAGGTCTTCTCGTTATCAGCTTGTATACACTTGTAAACAGACAACATGTTTTCCAGGGACCGGATGCCAATCCACCACAAAATCAACCCTTCAGACCGGAAGCGGATAGTGCGGACATCATCCCGACATTCTACGGCAAAGGCGCGTGTTTCCGTTTCCAAGGATTTGGAGGACAGCTTCTACATCACCAATTCTGTGGTGCCCCCGGGCTCCGAGGGATATTATGACGTCACACTTGAGAGTCCATTCGGCTCGGACAGCGAGAAGGAAGGTAAGAAAGTGACACGTCATAGCTAGCGTTTATATAGAGAAAATTACGGAAAACAATAGACATCTGGCATGTAAGATGTCACTCTTCATTTTAACGTGGTAGTGGTTAGCAATCGTCAAATTGAGGATATGCACGTTTCTCCTTTTTCATATTTAGATAAGCCGGAGGATGGTAAGCGGTCAGAATGTGAGCGAGTTTATCTTGCTGCTTGTAAGCAGTGCCGAGTGGCCCCGGGAAAGGGCGTACTACAGGGGCTAGGGTCACAGCGCTTGTCCGTCAAAGGTCTCCAGCTGACGTCACGGGAAATTGAACCAATCACGTATGCTCTTACAGTAAGTGACGGAAGCTGGTACTTGATGTTCTTGTCGTTATATCCTATAACGTTATTTTCGTGAAGCGGGTGTCACGCTTGTTCATGGCGCGGGTCGTTTTAACAATAGACCTATTTTGGGTTCCGAACAAAAAACTGGATTTAACCAAACGTAGTAATATAATTATGTACTGCTACACTATTCTGTATAATCTTTTCAGCCATGTACTTACAGGAAATACAAATAGTCAGTAGTGTTCTTAAAACATTTTTTTTCCGCTGACTTCCAAACATAACCGATATTTTCGTACAATTCAATGATATTTAACCTTACAATGGGCATAACCGGGTGTATGCCAGGTGTATTATGAATGTCTATTCATTCTAATTTGTTTAGCTTGTGATGTATTTATATTTTGCTGTAGATCTAGCAGGGGCAGGGTTTCTTGTGAACAATGCTCTCTACTTTTAGTAAATCTTTTTGGTACGTCCTCAATGTCTTTAACAGAGAAACCACCACGTGACCACATTGGACGTCTCAAGCAATGATATCGGCAAAGATGGCCTCAACAACATACTGCGCATGCTTGACGAGAACATGTCTTTAACAAGCCTGGTGAGTGGCCATCACTATATGGGGAATACAAGGATGAACACGAATACTAACCTAGACATGAATCAAGGGCAATTAACCGATTTAAATGTAACTTGTTAAATGAACGGGGACAATATGTAAGAATGATTATTGTTCAGTTAGCATTGACGCCATCTCAGATTTGTTTGTAATTTATTTTCTGTAGAATATTTCGCACAACAACGTTGGGTCAGCTGGTGCGCGGTTATTGAGTGAACTGATTGCTAATAGTAAATTGCTGAAAACTATATCCGCTTCCGGTAAGTAAAATATCCACTTCCGGTAAGTAAAATACAAGATAAAGACCTGTTCTCCTTAATTTATATCTAAAAACGGAGGTTTTAAGATTTGATTCGTCCTTTTTAAAGATCTGAGATTCTTTTTGGAAATCTTAAATGATAGCATGTACATATAGATGTTTCGTTGACAATTGCAAGTGATCTAGTTTAATAAATGGTTGTGAAAGGTCAATCACCGTCTCGAAGTCATTTAAGTTAGATATGTATCTACATAAAAGACCAGTCATAGCATACACATTACCCAGTAATGTCTCGGCATCGGGTTACTGACAAATCATCACCACGTACGTGTACCATCACTAGGGCATTCGATTTCAAGATACACAATTTATTTAAGGAAATGACGACACGAAAAATCATCCAGAAAAACGAGTATTATAAAGAATGGGAATTCTTTAACTTACCAGGGTTGAATAGGGGACATCCGCCCGGTCATATTATCATTTTATAGGCTTATAACACTTGATAAGGACACATCCGAAATGTAATAGTAGATCAGAAAGAGAGAGAGAGAGAAGAAAAATAGGGGGACACTTATAGTCTCAAGTTCTGCATGAGAGATAGAAGATTCTGTTCTTCTTTTTTCCTCACAAATAAGTAAGACACAAAAGGATTCTCACGAGTTGTCAGTACAGGAATAAATTAGACCATTGTGATCCGAAGGATTCTCACGAGTTGTCAGTACAGGGATAAATTAGACCATTGTGATCAGAAGGATTCTCACGAGTTGTCAGTACAGGAATATATTAGACCATTGTGTCTTTATTTCAGGTAACAAGTTTGCCGATGAGGATGCTTCATGTATAGCCGAGTCGTTGAAGGTAAGTCAATAGTCCCAACTAAAGGTAAGTCAACAGTCCCAACTAAAGGTAAGTCAATAGTCCCAACTAAAGGTAAGTCAATAGTCCCAACTAAAGGTAAGTCAATAGTCCCAACTAAAGGTAAGAAAGTTGTCCCACCGGAAGTAAGCTAGTAGACCCATGTAAAGTCATCTGCTAGATAAAGCAACAATGGGCACTATCAGAACATCAAACTGTATAATGTCGAAGTCCATATATCAATACTGGGTTATATGTGTTATGGATCGAGGTCTACAATTGTCGGTAGATCTAAACACGATTGTTCTTATGTTAACAGGTATCCCGTGTGTTACAGACTCTGAATCTAAGTCATAATAACTTCCACGAGCGAGGAGGGGAGACACTGGCAGAGGGGATAGGTAAGCTGCTTTGTTCTGTCACTTCTGTTGTTTATCTTTTATCTTTTCAATATGGCGACCCTGCTTAAAGTTGCTGGTAACGGACCTGGTATCGTTTCATATTATAGTGACATGGAAATAGTAACATCAAAACCATCAGACTAAATGAAGGAAAGAAGGATTTTCCGATTGTTTGGCCTTAACGTTTGCTTTATATACAGAAACATTACCATGTGTTTCAGAGGAGAACACGTCCTTGACCGACCTTGACCTGAGTTGGAATCACCTTCGACTTGGTGGGGCCATAGCCATAGCGGAGGCCCTCAAGGTATACAGACGGTGCTGTAACTATTCTAATCACTGGGAAAAATAGGTTATATCAACAAAACAATATACATACAAGTGTACACGAGTATTCTCAGAAATACGCCCTGTACAGATAGACATCATGCCACCCATACTATGGATGAAAGCTCTGGCTTGTTTCTGGTTTGTCATGTTGTCACGAGATTTGTTTTATTAGAAAAACTATTGCTATAGCTAATCGGGTATACATTTATTTGACGTTTCAATTTTGTTTAGAAAAAAAAGACAAACGATTTTTTCCGTAAGGGGTGGGGGCTTAAAGGAGGAAAAGGAGTACCGATCCCTGGCCTAAGTAACGCCTTTATTTTGCCTACTTTTACCAGGAGAACAAGATGCTGGAGAACCTCAATATCGCCTGGAATGGTTTCTCTAACGCAGGCTGCAAGGTGATAAGCGCCAGTCTCGAAGTCAACACCAAACTTCACACTCTAAATCTCAGCAACAACCGAATAGGATACGAAGGAGCCAGATCGCTCGCTAGGGCGCTTATGACCAACCAGAATCTCACCCATCTACAGGTAGGTAAACTGCAACCTCAGTAACAATAGGAAAATCGGTGCCAACAATAGAGCGTCCACGATCATTAACAATCCTGACGTAAGGAGCGAGTTTCTTTTTTAATCAAAATATCGCTTTCATTGAATTGTGTCTTTTTTTTATATTTATATTTGACTTTTTGTATGCTATCCTTAGCTCAATCTGAACTCCCTGTCAACACTGGGCGCATTTGAGCTACTGGTGGCCATTAGGGACAATCCTGGGAGTGCAATAGAAAAACTGGAGCTGGAGGTAAGACTAATGGAATCTTTCCCTACCTTGAGGGTGTGACAGAGAAATCTCCTACCCGAGGGGTGATGCTTTTTGGTTGTCTTACCCGAGGCTCTGCCGAGGGTTAGACAATCTAAAAAATCACCCTGAGATTTGGAGATTTCTCTGATACACCCTCCAGATATGGGATGGTTATTTTTCTCCCATCCTATTATTTTAGTCACAACTCCACCGACAGTAGTCTGCCATGAACAAAAACACATGTGAGGTATAAATATCGTCATTCACTTTTGATGACGTCACAATTATTCGGCACGAGGCTATCTTCCCCTAAACTATGGGTTGACAAGATGGGCCCGTAGTCATGAAACCGTTCTCATGCTCAAGCATGGATTCTGTGCTCAAATCTACTTTCTTATAACTCGCTTAAATCATGTCAAACGATCAAAAAGAAAACAGTTTTCGGCTTTAAGTCTCTTCAATGTTTTTCCAAATCATTGAAAAAAGAACATTTTTATGAATTTATAACGGGAACAAGAAATTCGACTGGAGCACAAATTCCATACTCGAGCGTGAGAACGGATTCATGAACACGGACACTGGTGTTGGAACACCATTACAAACAATAGAATGGGTTATATTAGAAAACAAAAACAAAAGAAGAAAACAATACAATAATTACTAGGAAAAAGTAGTTGATTATGAAACGAATTGTAATAAACGATACCAATGTGCATTTTGTCTTCAGGAGGTACCAGTGTTGGCCTCAGCCCAGGCCATAGAACAGGAAATAAAGTCTGTCCGACCATCCTTCATCCTTATACATGACGTCGTAGTCCTTTCGGATGACCATCTCGCCCTCGCCAGCGTGGTCAACAAACGGAAGGTCGTCAAGAGTTGATGACGTTAGGAACACATTCTAAGATCTCAACGATAGGGGTCACGTGACATTGCCAATAGTGGTCGTGTGATTACACCTATTAGGTTTATGTAATACATCAGGGTCACATGATCATATCACCATCGGGGTCATATTACTACACTGGTAAGTGTGGTCGGAATCAAAACCAACGGAACAAACAATGGTCACCAAACAAAAGGGGTCCGCTGGATTTGTTTGGAGCTGTCTATACAGGTAACACACGTACCAGTATAGTGGTTACACTTCGTGGACATGTCCAAACGGATGTTTTATATGATAACTGGAGGTTTATTGGCAAGGCATGGATGATGGTACGGATGGATGACAGAACAACACGCAAGGGACATTGTTAAATTGTAATTTTTGATATGGTGACGCAGTGCTGTCTACAGAACGAATTGGCCATATCTTGGTGCTAATGGGCAGTGTTTTCTGAGATTAAAAAAAAATACGTCATAATCTGTGTATCTTTAATAACGTGTGATGTCATGTATGTTATTACGTGTGACGTCATATATATGTTATTTACCTGTGACGTCATATATATGTTATTACCAGTGACGTCACATCTGAATTTACATGTGAAGTGATATCTGTTATTCCTGTGATGTCATATAAATATTATTACCTGTGATGTAATGTGGTATCACTCACTTGTGATGTCATATATGTTATTACCTGTGACGCCAGTTCAATTGCTGTTGATGTAATGTCGAAATAAATTAAATGCGGCAATTATTATTTTTTGTGTACTTTTTATACGGTTAAACCTTAGGCGAAAGGTTATCAGTAAACATGTAACATGATGTGGATATATAGGATGTTATAGTGCCTGCAACACAATTACGGATGGAATGTTGCTTTGATCAATTCCATGGTGGGATCAATTGAACTGGTCTTGAGGAGCAGATCATGACCTCACCCATAGCAATATTTAATTCTTAAGCTTAAATTACATGTGTAAACCGTTGGACGAATATATACCACAACACCAAAACGTGGATAAAATATACGACAGCGTTCACACAGGGACAACATATACCGTATCGTCAATATACCGACAAAATATAGCACAACGTCAACACAAAACGACAAAATATAGCACAGCGTTAATACACGCATACAATGAACCACAACGTCAATATACACACGAAATATACCACAGCGTCAATATACCGACAAAATATAGCACAGCGTCAAAACACACATGCAATATACCACAGCGTCAATAT